TCACTAAAGGAAGCTTGCTGCCAGTTCTTTTTGATTAAACATTTGCGGCATCTTTGCGAAATAGTGTATCAGAAATCTGAGGCCACGTTTGTCACGTACCACAAGTACCTCATGTAAAGAGGCTCTTTCTGCTTGTCATGTGACCGCATGATTGCTTTCAGGCTCTGGATGACAGACTCAAAGGGGCTGCTCTCCACAGAGCAAGTCCACGCTATAAGAGTTACATTTCACCTAGACAGGGGACAGTGAAAGATTGCACCAATTAACACCTGGGCATCACCTCCGGGTTCGGTTGATGTATGTGGAGAGCACAACCAGGCCAAACAGTTTTTGAGACCCCTCTGGAGGGAGTACGGACAGTTTTTGTGCTTTTACCAAGAGGCACACGGGAAACTTAACAAGTGCACACGAACTCAGCTACTTCTGGCATCGTCTCATTGGCATGCCGTACTGTGCTTCAACAGCCAAGTCGCCACTGTGCGCCAGCCTCAGCTCACTGACCACCGGGGAGATCTGGAGCCTCCTGCTATAGGCAGGGAGATGGGTGAGGACATTGCACAAACAGCATGCCACGTGGCTCAGGATAACTACAAATAAGTACACTGACAAATCATGATGAGAAAATCCTTCAAAATCCTATGGGAAAACTCACAAGGCGTGAGTCCACACAGATAATTCTGCCCAAGGAGTAGCCAGTTCTTTTAGCCATGGGCAGCCTTATCTTCTAAATCGACATTAAGTCTAACGAACATGTAATGAGTGCTTACTTCCTGCCTGCAACCTTATTGCCTTATCTTTTTGGTGATGTGGATGACTGAACTCAAGACCCACTGCACACTAAGCACAGGCTTGATCACGGAGCTATTTATACCCCCAGCCCAAGGTGCGTGTCCTTTCTCTCTCCCCAGTGGCTATGGAGGTTGTAACAAACTCTACCTTACCCAACAAAAGACAAAGATCAAGGTGCACTGGGCAACATTCCTGAGGCTTCACACCTAGTAAAGATGGGGCAGTTAGTTAAACCCAAGGCTGGTCCGGCCTAGTCCTTGATCTCGAGTGCTGTCCTAAAGTGCCCTTGTGGGTATAGAGATATACGGTAGATCATCCTCCCCCTTGTGCTTGCCTTTTGGCTCCCCGTCATTCTTGCCATTTGGCAGAAGGTGGGAGAGGCCAGTGAATGCCCGAAGCGTCTGCCTAGACTATGAAAGTAAGCACCAGCGAGATCCCATCCACAGAGCACCGGACTCCTCAGCTCTCTGTCTCCTGCACCCGACTCAGTTTGCTTCTCTCCCGTCCTTCCCAGCTCTCTCTTCCATTGAGCCGACTTGCCAGCTTTTGCTCATTTCCCTCCCACAAGAAGTCCCCACTGCTTCTGCCAATCATTCCATTGGGTGGGGTGGCACTCACTGGTGTACCTGGCACCTTAGCCTCTAGTGATCACCTCCGCTTGTCTGTGTCCCCCACAATGTCCATGTGCCAGACACTCAATGTCTGCATCTGTTGGTGCCGTTTTGTTCAGAGACAGACCAGAGACCAGATGGTGATGTAAGAAACCAAAGCGAGATGCCCAGCCTCTGACTCTTCTGGAGCTTACCTTGTCTCTCCCTGCCAACCCTTCCTGGTTACCTCACTGAGACAGAAGGGGATCCCAAGGAGAGCTGGTAAAGGTGAGAGGGGGCACTTTGGGGAGGTCAGATTTTCTGCTCATGGATTACAAGAGCAGTCCTTGCTAACTTCGCCTGCAAGGCAAGGACACTGAGACCATGCTGCCAAATCTCACAGTCCACCTTGGCCTGGAGGTCTCCAAAACCTAAATGGTGAGAACAATCCGCAGGCAGCCGAGCTGTTAGCCCTCAGCAGCTCAGCTCTTCGCTTTTGTGAAAGGAGAGAGAATTTTAAGAGGAAGAAGGCAGTAGGAATTGTTAAGACACGGAACCCCAAGGAAAGAGAAAAAAAAGGAAGAAGGTGGTAGGAACTGTTAAGACACGGAACCCCAAGGAAAGAGACAGGTGCAGCGGGCAACACAGGAAAGTGGGTAGGTGGTGGGTGAAGTGGAGAAGGGTGGTGGTGGACATATCCGCAGGAGGGGCCATCCCCGGCAGCTGCTCGCACACCTGCACAAATCACCGTGCCCACCAGAGGTGACTCCGTTCAGCCAATCACCGGACTCTGTCTACTGTGAGGGGAGAAGAGGACAGGACAAGGACGTGTAGTCGAGAGGGATGGAAACCCAGCTGGCAGCCACTCCCCAGCAATCTCCTGCCAGTGTTCTGGGTCCCCATCCAAGGTCCTAGGAGAGGAAGCTGAGACCAGAGGCCGGGTGTTGTAAGAATCCAGAAAGAGATTTAAAGGATCACTTGTGACATTAATTTTTTTTATTAAGAAGACAGATATTTTATAGTACTTCTTTTTTTTTCTTTTTTCTTTTTGTAAAAATGGTATACATGAACCGATACAAAATGCGAATGGGAACACACGGATGTGGAGTTTCTTACACTGTAACATGGTCCTTGTACACCTTAGGAACAGAACTGGCCTAGAGGGAAAAACAGGACGTCCTTGTGACTAAAGAACAAGCTTATTTGGCATCAATTATACATCCTTCATTATTTTATATTCCTTTAAAAAAACACAAAAAAACAAGTTTGTTCTTTCTTCACTCTAAAAAAAGTGATCAATCTGTACAAAGTAATACTCAACAATACATTTCAAACAGCGCACTGTATACTTAAGAAAAATACATAAACCAATATACAACTAAAGTCCGTAATTTCCTGTTTTTGCTTTATTATAATTATAATTATTATTATTTCTCCAATGGGTGGGGCCTACACTTTGCAATCTACCTGAGACGGAAAAACACCAATCGAAACACAGGAACCTGAGACATGTCAACATTGTAAGCCATAAAGTTACATCAGAACACTGCACTACTGTACACTTGTCAAAAAACAGAAAGATGGGCGGTCCCGGAAATGAGATGCCGATTCTGTGAACAATGGTAGGTTTGTTTGTTTGCTTTTTTGTTTTTTTTTTGTATTTTTTATATATTTTTTTTCTAAAAAGAACAGCTGAAAAACCCTTTCAACGACATGCTAACTGGTTCTCACCCTTTGATATGGTCACACTATGTTCAGGATGGGTGCTAAGGGCTCGGAATAGATGCACATTATAAAATTCTTGAAAAAGGGATGTTCCTTGTGGCTTTTTGTCTTGGTTAAGTGCCTAGGGACAGGAGAGGGGTCAACAAAACACTGCTCGGTAATGCATTTTCCTTTACATAACAGTCCATTCCCAAAAGGCCCCCATATTGCAATGGTTCTATCAGAAGTGAAAATAAAGACAAGAAAAAGAAATACGTTTTCAAATAACAGAGTCGACACTTTTTCCCCTTAAATAAATCAGCGTGAGTTTTCCACATAATGTAACAATAGTAAAAATGCACCTTGCAAAATCCAAAAGTACTGACTGAAAATGTTATATAATATATATTTATATATCTATATATATAGATAGCTCTATCTTTTCTGATGCCACCTTTCCATAGGGACTGTTATTTGGAGTCTGGAGCCTACCAACATGTAGGGAAAGAGCTTAGGTTTTCGTCCTTCAGAACTACTTCTGGATTCCCTCAACACTTCAGTGACAAACCCCGCCTTAGCTTTAAAGACTGCAAATGGTAACGACTCCTCTACCTTCCTCTAGGCTCCAGTCTAGGATATGTTCAAGGTAACTTATTTCAGTATCTATGCGCTATGGCTGCCATCATGCGAGATGAGGAATTTTTGGCAGATGGTTCTTAAGGCTGAGGAAAGAGGCCAAGGCTAGTGTATGAAAGGTAGAAAGATAAAAACACTCCCATCTGAGTTTTGATTAAGTAACTGAAATTCTCTACATGCTGCTTTTCCACCTCGGCTCTGACCTTTCGAGAACAATACCGGCCCTTCTTTTGTACCTCCTGCCTTTGTCAAGCCAAATCTGAAGGAATGAGAGCTGCTAAGGGATTGGGGTTGGAAATCCCAGCAGGACAAGTGTCCCAGCAGGACAGTGTCTGTAATATACAGTACATGCAGGCCACATCCTACTGCCCTCCTAAGTAAGCACAAAGGAAAGAAAAAATAAAAACAAAAGCAAAAAAAAAAAAAAAAACCAACAAAAACCTGCCCCCTTCATTCATTCACACAACACACGGACTTGCTCTCTCCTGCACGTCAGTGAGCAGTAAGGCCAATTGGGAAAGGTGGATGGATTGTTTGGAATAGAAACAACGAGAGCAGGACTGACTGCCTTATCCCCTCCCTGCTTCCCCTCCTGCGGCAACTCAAATTTGTCCACTGACATCAAATGGACAGACCTCACCTGTTGGGTCTGTTTAGGGCAATGAGGAAGGAGGATACTTTCCACCCCAAACCTTTCTGCACAGCGTGGGGCAATCTATACTGAGCCGCCTACAGATACAGTAAAGACAGAGTCAATCTCATTGCGACACACCTCACTTGCAGGTAACCCTGTACAGTAATGAAGAGATCCACAGCAAACCACAGTTTCTGAGTCACAGTCTACTTTTCTAGTCTTTGCTGCTCTAAGTATTGAAACATGGGCAGCAGCAAAGAGTTTTCATTGTTTTTTTCTTTTTTTCTTTTTTTTTTTCACCCAAGTCTTTACGACAACAGAGAAGGATGCATCATGGAGACACTAAATTCTGAACTATGAAATCTAAACTGTGCTGGTTTTCCTTTTATGCAACTGAATTTGGAACAGAAAGCAGTCACCGTCAACACAAAAACAAAAGAAAGCAGAAACGGCAACAGTGGGGGAAAAGTCTTAGGAATCCCAGCAGGTCAATTCCAAAAAAGGGAGGTTTAGGGAGGGAAAAAATTGATTTTGGAAAAAAATAAATGTATACAAAGGAGAAGGGGAAAGAAACACAAAAAAACAAATGAAAAAACAAGGCACAGAATTTTCTGCAATCTACCGAAACCCAAGTTTGACTTGGTAGGAAGAAAGAAAAATTAAAAAAAAAAAAAACACACACAAAAAAAACCAAAACCCAAACCCAAACCAAATTAAAACCAGATAAAAAGAGGTGTCAAACAGCAGAGCGTACTTTTCAAAGAACATTTTTTTCTTTTTGTTTTTACATAGCAAACCCCAAGTCTTCCCAGTCTCGCATCTTTCCACCCACTCATAAAAAACACACGAGCGTCTCGCAAGTTCCAGTATCACTGTCTCTTTATCATCTAAACAGGGCCAGTTGGACACCTCATTGGAACAAAAAGGCTGATCTAGATGAAGTACTCTTTCTTTTCTTCGGAGTTGTTCTGTCCTCCTTCTGCATTGATTATAGCTGTGTCTGCGTCTGCTGCGTCATCGGCTCCTTTGGCTTCATGAGTGAAGTATGTACCTGAAAGATGAAGGGGTAAAGCACTGTGACTCTCTGATGGCCTCTGTGTGAAGTGGTACAGAGATGGCAAGTTGCTTTATGGCCATCATCAGCCGAAGTGGTGTGCAGGCAGCAGAGGGGAAGAAAAAAAAACAATTGGAAGAAGAGAGCGAGGTGGGTGAGACAGATGGGGATCCGGGGCTCCAAAGGTACCACTCCAACTGAGCCGCTGCGATGTAATTCAGCAAACGAGACATTAGAGCAGGGAGTATGACCAGAGAAGAAGACGTGAGTGGGGCTAAAATGCAGAAAGCTGGAGAGCTGCTGACTAACGCATAAACAGTAAACACCAAAGACCGATGACCAGAGATGTTCGCACATGGTTAAAGACCAAAGCAAGGAAGAGCAATTAGCCAATAAATGAATTAGGGCCCCAATGACGCTTCTATTGTCATCTTGAGTCAGTTACTCCAACCATAGTTTTCCTGGCTTCATGAATGGCTACTGGCTACCCATAGGTGAGACTGTGCTTGAACTTGTATAAGGGTTGGTTTCTCTATGCCTTCCATTTCAGAGTAGGGCACCAGATGGAGACAAAATTTTTGACACTGTAAAGACTGCAATTGAGGCGTGGGCTCTGTCTTCAGGAACAAGGGTTTCTTTCTCACCATGTGACTGGAGCCTGGACCCGGATTCATGGATTTGCTAATTGGCACAGCCACTTTATAATGACAACAGACAGAACATTAACCAAGTTGGTGACATTTCTATCACCAAATCCCAAGGGTTTACATGAAGGAAGACAAGACTTCACCTCAGACTAGCAGGCAGGTAGAACTCAAACTGTCTCGTAAAATCTGATAGGCTTCTTCCCATTATGCTCTGACTCAAGATTCTTATACTTCAGAAAGCCTAAGACATTTTACTGAATTTTCAGATCTTAAAGTGAGAAACTGAGCAAGCAGGTGGTCAAACGCTTCCTTCCCGAGCCCTCTCTCTTGCAGAGACATATGTACCCCTGTCTTCTGATTCCCCGTGAATGCTCTGCACACTCGCCTTGGCTCCCAGGCTGGACCTTCCCAGCTGGACCAAGTTAAGCACTGAAAGGCGGAGGTTCTGGGCCACACAGCTCTAAGAGTCCCCAGACTCTGTGCTCCAGACAGACACTTACAGATCCTAAGGTCTGTTGTTCAGCACCCTGGACCTCCACTGCTGGGCTCCAGGGACTTTCCCCAAACCCAGGTCACATCGAGCAGTATGCAAGCGCCTACAAAACCCCCCAAAGCTCATTGCAGAGTGCTTGAGAAAAACAACTGAGAAAGACAAGGGCCGACAAAGAAAAGGAAGACTAAATTACCAGGAGGGGAGAAGAGGCTCAGAGCAGCATGAGGCAGAGAGGAAGAGCCTTGGCAAAGATGATTGCCCATCCAGTCTGCACAGTTGGTAAGTGTGATGATTAATGGCAATTTAAATCAATTGCCCTGATAATTTAAAAAATACATATTTATGTGGCTTTTAAGGCAAAAGATTTTTTTCTTTTTTTTCTTTTCTTTTTCTTTTTTTTTTTCTTTTTAAACCTGGGCACACCACATCAAGGAGGAAATATTCTGGCCCTCGGGACCAACTTACTCAGAGTTCAGGGTCAGTGAACTGGTTCACCTGTCTCCGGGAAAAACGAGCAGGCTGTGTATGTTTGCCATGCATACAATCTTCCAGGGTTCAGGCCACTCATCATGCCAGCCCCAACTTTGTTATTTTGACTCTAACCCCAAATGTAGACTGGGGAAAACAGACCTGTACAGCTTTGTATTTATAGGGAATCCAAATTAGCATGCAGTCCTCAGCTGTGGCTGCTAAGGTTTCTTTATCCACCCAAGCCCGCTCGAGGAATCATATATGCTATGTCACCCTTTACACCAAGCTGCCTAGTAATGACAACAGTTGAGGTCCCCCAACGCCAGGGTTCTGGCGACAAGTTGCTCCAGCCTGCCAAAGCACCTTGCTTACCTTTATGTCTGGCAAAATAGCGGCCCAGAATGATGAGCAAGCAAAGCATGGCAAACACGACCACAGCCACAACACCGCCAATCACTGCGTGGTCCACCGCACCAATGGCGCCCTCTTCACCTGCTCGAGAGTCTGTTAAAATCAGAAGAGGAATAGGGATGTAGAACTTATTACAAGACACCAGGAGCCCCAGGGACACTGCCTCCAGGGTCAGGAGGTCACCTTTTTTAATGGAGGAGTCAGCAAGAACAAACCAGCTGGATCAAGTTACACGGAGGGAACAGACTGACCTGTCCAGTGCTGAATTGATCTGTTCTCCCCACAAGGCAATTTCATTAGAGGCAGCATAGGCATGCTACTGTGTGTGAAAGGAACTAGGGAGCTGTGTGTGTGTGTATGGGGGCTGGGGATCCTGCCTCTTCTCACCTATCCCTAGCGCTCACTATACACACCCTGGAACTTACAGCTACCAATAATTAAGGGGGCTGACCTAACTGTTTATGGGCACCACAGATGGTATCTTCAGGCGATCAGGGGAATGGGGGGGAGGGGGATGTCAACAGGCCGCACAGCTCACTCTCTTAGAGGAACATGCATAGGGAAAGCAAGGCTGTGTAGAGATAAAACCAGGCTTATGAGACTAAAGACATGACATGCTTGCCACATTTACAAGGAGTGAGGAGGGGAAAAGCCTCAATGTAAATCTGAAAACCTAATTCAAAGGGGGAGGGGATGGAGAGAGAAAGGGAGAGAGAGGGAGAGACAGAAAACGTTAAGACAGGAAGGAATACTTGTCCATTGCCACAGACGGGTTTGATGTTATTTATTTAAAACCTCGAAATGCAATTAGTTTTCTCTTATAAGCCTCACTCCCTCGGGACATCCCTCTTTGAGTTTTTGGCTGGGGAACAACTTCAGAATGAACCCGGAATGAGCTATGGTGATGCAGAATGGATGTATGGCAGGGTAAACAATTTTAATTTAGGAATGTGGCTACATCACCCTTTGCTGAAATCCTAATGGCACCCGAGATTTATAACATAGTAAAAAACAATTATTCTCCCGTTGATTAATACATTAACATTTTGGAGTGGAAGCTAAACCATTGTCTTTTTTTTTTTTATTGAGTCAAGTACGACACCTCCATTAAAATGATTTACTGGCTGTACCTTACAATTTAAGCACAGCAGCAACAGAAACGGTAAAAATCTTTTAACTTTACATGATTTGTGAAGTCATATGTGAAGGATTTACCATTTAAATCTTTCAGTACATGAAGCACATGGCCTATAAATCTGCCCCCCTTGTAGTTGCTGGATGCCTAAGAGAAATGCATTTCATCGGGAAGACTGAGAGTGCAAATTCAAGTCAATTTCTAAGAAAGATTTATCTCTGTCTCTCTCCAAAGAACAGAGCAAATCTCTGAAGCCTCCACCTCTAATAATATTTGAAGTTTATCGATCAAGTGTACAGATCCGTGACAGCTAAAGGTAATGGTACTCTTCTGAGCCGAAACCTGATACAACGCTTTCAGCAGGAGGGCAGGGCTTACACTTTCTATCGATATTTCCAATTCTGCTTGGAGACTAGGCACTGAAGGATGCGGGGAAGTAACTCGTGACGACTGAGGCTCCCGTGGAAAGTACTTTAATTAAAAGAGCTTCAACCAGAATGTGGAGTATTTAAAGTGTTCCGTGGAGTTAACGTTGGAAGGGTTACAGAATAACTCAAACCCCAAACCCCCAAAGAGATGCCAAGTCAGAGGCAGCAGCAGGTCGCCTGGACAACGGGATGATGGGAGTTTAATTGGAGGATGGAGATGGGTTGGAGGCAGAGTGCTGCAGCCAATTAGTCTACTCCGTGATGTGCAAGGCCCTCCAGCTACGTGTCTAATAAGCTCCACTTGAAATGTAGTGGAGGGGAATCCCCTGCCTCAGTCCAAGTGCTGCTGACTGCGGACAATGTGGCTTCCATTGTCTTGGAAGTCCTTTCAACAAGACAGGCCGGGGTCATGGAAACTTCGTAGCCTTTTATGAAACAGCTTGTTGATGGGAAGTACTGTGTGTGTGTGGGTGCATTGATTATTGTTCTTCTGTGACAAAATACCTGCCACAAATAACTGAAGGAAGGGCTTCCTCTGCTTCCCATTCTGAGAGCACAGTCCATCATGGCAGGGAAGGGATGGTGGCAGGAGTGAGTGGTAGTGGTCGCATGGCATCCCCAGTCAGGAAGCAGAAAGAGGTGAACACTGGTACTTGCTTTTTCCTCTTTTTTTTTTTTGTTTGTTTGTTTGTTTGATCTGGGATCTGGCCCACGGAATGGTGCTACTACCCACATTTAGGATTTGGGTTTCTATCTTCAGCTAAACTTTTCTGGAGACATCATTAGACACGTCCATGAGTGTGTTTCCATGGTGATCCTAAAACCAGTCATACTCATGATGAAGAGTGACCATCACGGGTTAGTACCGGATCTTGGTGCCTGCTGGAGGGCTACACTTTATATCGTGAAGATACACCCTTGACAAACACTCAAATGTTCACACAGGGAACAGGTAATAGTAAAACTTGCCAGTTCTGTTTGAATGATATCAACTAATCTTGAGTTGTCATGGGCTTCAAAAGGAAAGAATGTTTGAATTTTCCATAAACTGCCCGTATCTTAGATTTGGGACAAGGTGATACAGATGAGGGAAGAGAGTTATATGAGGCAAGGGAGCAGGGAGATGCCACTTTGGGAAGGTTGAGACTTGACGAATGCTTCTAGAAGCTGTTTAAGACGCAATCCTTACCCATGTGGAGGCAGGCAACTCTTGCCCACTGTTAAAAGACTAATTCCTCCAACTTCAAGCACAGAAAAGTCAGAGAGTGTGCCAGTATGTTTGTGTTTTAGAGGGGAGAGGGGAAGAAAAGGCAGACAAAACTAAGGACAAACTTCTCCAAACAAGGCTTCACAAACAAAACAAACAAACCTGCCATCTATGGGATTCCTTACTTAAGCCAGCAGTTCAGCTGACCTCTGTTCTCCAAATGCGCTCAGTTCCCCTGTACTTAGCTCACACTGAACACCTGGGTTTGAGTTCTTTCCCACTCTCAAGGGCACACATACATTGCAGATCCTTATTTGCAAGCGTAATTTCTCTAGCTACTTTCTGATACTCACTTTGATCAGAAAGTTTACTACCGCTAGTTAATCACCAAGACACTTTTCCTGCCTTCAATTACAGCAAATGGACACAGAAGGTAACTGATGTTTAATTTACAGGGAACACTGCTGGTTATGAGCTCCTGGCCGCCTCTTCCTACCTCTCCTCCACCCTCCTCCCAACCCTGGTTGACCATGAGAGGCAGTAATAGAGCTGTGACTGTCCCAAAGTGCCTGTCACAGGCTGGGCTCCCCTGTGGTGATCAGTTGTTTCTCATTCATCTCTTCTGTTTCCTCGTGTGGGATGGGAGGCAGTTCCAACTGTGCTGTGGATTGGCTCAGACTGGTAGGGGTGATGCTAGATGTCTGCTCCTGGGTAAGAACCCCCTGCACCTGCAGCTGAGACCTCTCGATGGTCACAAAAAGCAGCAACGCTTTGCTCAAGGATGCACTCGGCTGTCAGAGGTGGCTAAAAACAGGATCTGTGGCAATGTCCGCCAGCCTCCACCTCTCCTATCTTGATCAAGTGTTGAGAATTCAGGCGAGTTCTTGAAGGTCCCGCTCCTGTGAGCAAGGAGATGCATCCGATTGGGTCCCATGCCATTTGCTGCTGTTTTCCTGGGAATGGCTCTCCAGATTTCTTCCTCCCCTTTGTAGCCAGACAAGAAAACAGGAGGCAAACTCTCCAGCTGCCGCAGCTCCTCCAGCAGAAAGTGCAGATGGGGAAGCAGGGTCTTCTCAAGGAGCCCGGTCTCCAGGTAAAGGGGAGCCACAGGAGTTAGGGTTTCTATACTGGGATAAAGCTAAGCTCTTGCTGTGCTGGGAGGAATGCCAAGCACATGCTTGGTACACACATGTACAAACAGCCATTCTAGTTCCTGCTAACCACGCTCTATGTGTAGTTAATCTCCTCCAAATAACTCCACACACACATTCAGATGGATGAGTGAGCTAAGTCTAACTTAGACAACACTAACCACGCTCTGTGTGTAGTTAATCTCATACAAGTAACTTGATACACACATTCTGGTGAATGAGTGGGCTGACCAAATCTAACTGAGACAACACCAACGACAGTTTGTGTGTAGTTAATCTCATCCAAATAACTCCATACACACATCCGGGTGAATGAGTGAGCTAAGTCTAACTCAGACAACACTAGTGGCTCGGTGTGACAACGCCACTGTGGCGCAGCCCTTGGTCTGCCCCCACCACCGAATTCTGTGCCACATTAGAGCGTCAAATGTGACAGCACACCACTAGCTGGGATTAGCTCTTGTGACAAAAAAATTGAAACAACTTAGCTCCATGTGAGATTTATAAGTCCCTTGCAGAATGTCAGGTTGGAAAAAAACAAAAACAAAAGAAGCAAACAAAAAAAAATCAATTAAACAACAATAATAACAAAACCCTGTGTCATATCTTCAACTACCCTGGCCATGATTTTTAGCATCTTAGAAATCTCAGAATAACAACAATAAAAGAATTAACAACAACAACAGTAACAAGATACTTTTCATCAAATCCCAGGGATGTACCAACTGCTCAGCTTTCTTCAGCTGACCTGACCCCTCCTGCTCCTCAAGGGTGATGTGAATGGGGAGAATTCTGAAGGCTGGATTGGACTTTCAGTCTCTTTCCACCTCTCTCGTGGACAGCTCTCTTTTTCTCTACTTGTATTCATTCCTTAAATGCTTACTAAAGTGGAGCACTTCCTTCACAGAACATCCTGTTCTGCTGCCTGTAAGGCCCTGGTTTCTATGGCTACTTTACCACCTAGCAGGAGAGGCGCCACACCAACTGCCAGGAGAATGCCATAAGCCTTGCAGGCTGTGCTGCAAAAACAGAGATTCATGGGTAACCAGGCTAGGATGTTCTTGACAGGCTCCTGGCAAGGCAGGACTCACTGAGCAGAACCCTTATTGCAACTGCAGGCTGACCACTTGGAAACCCAGGCTACAGAATCTAAGGTCAGTCGTCTTGCAAAA